AAGTCACCTCAGGACACCTTTCTTCACAGGACAGCTGCTCCATTGTGTCTCTCCTCCAGACCCTGTCCAACAGGTTCATGTCTTGCTGTTTGAGGGGTCCCAGAGCTGAATGCAGCATCCCAGGTGGGGTCTCTCTCACCAGGGCAGAGCAGAGGGGCAGAATCCTCTCCCTCACCCTGCTGGCCATGCTGCTTTTGATACAGCCCAGGAAATAATTTGCTTTCTGGGCTGCAAATGCAGACTGCCAGCTTATGTCCAGTTTTTAATCCAAAAGTACTCTCAAGTCCTCCTCAGCAGGGCTGCTCTCAATCCCTTCACCCCCCAGCCTGGTATCAGTACCAGGAGTTGCCCTGACACAGGTGGGGACCTTGCACTTGGCCTTCTACTGTCACAAAGACTAAAAGACTTGTCAGCTTCCAATAATACTGGAAGACATTTAGCAGTTATGAAGAAAAACAGCAGTTGTTAAACATTAGGTAGACATCTCTGGCTTGAACTTTCAATGCAAAATGTAATATAATCTTGCATGAAATAATCTTTCCCCCTAAAATTTACACCTAAGTATGATTTCTATAATGTTCCATGGAAAACTATGTGGTATGTATTTTGGGAGGAGGAAGCAAAAGCAGTAAAAGTCTTGCCTGATGATAATGATGTTGAAAACAATTTTCCATGTCATTTTGAACATTTCAGAATTTCCACAGGGCTGCTCCTCAAGCAAAACAGATCTCTCTTTGCTATGTGTCATTACCAATTATGCAAACACAGTAATATGATTAGAAACGTAACTGGTTCAGCACACGTATCGGTAACCTCCAGCTTCTCAATTTTCCTTCTTACTGGCATGAGTCACCTTAGCAAAGCTGACAAAACTTCAACAGTGACAACTGCAGACAGCAAAGTCTAGTTATCAGATTCCAAGGAGAAGTTACTGAACTGCTCAGGTAACGGTACCTACATAACATCTGAACAGCAAAAATAAATCCAACAAACAAAACCCCTCAAAAACAAACAACCCCCCCAAAGAAAAAAAAAAAAAAATCACACAACAAAAAAAAAATTCCTCCAATACACAAAACAAAACAAAATCTTAAAAAAACCAAAACAAACAAAAATCCAAAACATCACAAAACTTGCTAGCCAAACTAGTTAATGATTAATAAACAAAGCTCTACTACTGCAACAAAAAGAAACATAGTGATAAGCAATCACAGCAGAGATATCACAGTCCAGAAGTGATGAATTGCTCAGGACAGAAAAAAATCAACCGTAGTATTAACAAGGTTTTATATAGTGAACAAAGACATAATGACATTTTCTAAAACTATTTTTATAGTTGTTCCATTAAATAAAAGCTGACTGCTTTAGAAAGCATTCCTTTTCATATTTACATGCTTAGTTTTCTTTAATTTTCTGAAGTTTGTAGGCCAGGTAGGAATACATAAGAGATACATGTAAACTCACATGCAATATGTAACTACATCCAGGAAACTCCATGGTTTGTGCAATAAGCCTAATCGTGTACTTACATATGTACATACCTAGTACTATCTAGATGTGAATGGTACAAGTGAAAATAAAAGAGACTGCATGAAACTTACTTACTTAACTTTTGGGTTTTGGCTATTGATATTATTATTATAGTGCTACCATTGCAATTTTTTGCCTTTCTTTTAAAATTAATTTTCATTCATAATACTCTGCTGATGCATATACACATAAACACACCAACATTGTTCAGCTTTTTAGTAGACTCATAGTAATACTGTAATTCAGGAGTAATAGATTGCATTATTAAAATATATTATTCTTTTGATTAAGGACTGAAGTAAAGTTTTGTTGAAGAAGGAATTGACTGAGTACAGGAACACAGAAAAGCCTGGAAGTTTGCAGAAGCCTCTTCTGCAATTTGTAAATACAACCATATACTCTTTCCACATCCACAAAAAAGAAAAAGAAGTTGCTATAAATTCTACCAATTTACTTCTGTGTAGACATCTTAATGAGACAAGTCACATGTTCTAAGTAGTTGAAAAATGCTGTTGCTTTCCTTATGACTAAAGCCTTTTTTCCCTCGCCAAGGAAGAAGAGTAATACTCCTCTGTATGCAGAAAGAGATTAAAGATTAATTTATCTACCACACTTCACACTGAAAAATCAAAAAGATGAAAATAAGGATAAAACAGCCATATATGTCAGGAAGACAGAGTCTCTTCTCATTGCGAACCTCTACAGTCAAAATCCTCTCAAAAGTCATCTCTCTCTTTAATGAGTGTACTTAAATCACAGCACATTATTGATGTTATGTCTACAACTAAAATTCCATTTCTGGAACTGGTAAGTACAAAAATGCACTCAAAGAAGGTACAGTCAAGGACGGTTAGTCATAATGGACTGATCCATGCAAACAATTTAGCCTGTAGTATTAGTGCTTTACTCTGCCGAGAATGTTTTTGTGACTCTGTATATCCTCCGCATACTATTTGAACTGTAAATAAGAGGTAGACTGACTAGTCATGAATTATTAACATTAACTTTTAAAAGTTGCCCAATTTCCAGTATGTGCTTAGACATGGCTGGGAGAGGGATACTGCTACTTACATAAAACTGCTACGGTATCAAGACTAATTTTTTTCCATTGAGGTTCAAAAAAAAAAGAAAAAAAAAAAGAAAAAAACCCGGAAAATAAAAAGGAAAAAAAAAAATTACCCACATCCCCGAGATCGCGAGCGTTTAAATTCATTCAAAGGCTGCTCTGACGGCGTTACCGAGCCAGGAAGCCAGGTCGCTCTGTCACAGCTCGCCCCGCAGCACATGCTCCCACTTCGGCCACTCACACTTTTTCCCTTCTGCCTCCCGGGCAGGATTTCCCGGCTACGAACAAGACGAGCATGATCCCGGCGGCAGGACCTGGCTGAAGCCAGGCCATCAGGCAGCTCCAAACTTTACGACGGTCCCGGCCGCCCCGGGGCAGCTGCCACCGATCCCCTCGCACCCGGCCAGTTCCAGGGCGAGCCCCCCGCCCTCCGAGAGCCCGGGCCGGAGGTGGCCTCTTTCTCCCGGCCCGGCGGCCCCCGGCTCCCAACATCCCCTTTCGCCACAGCCCCCTGCCGCACTAACCTCCGTAACCTGCCGCTTGTTCACCTCCGCACTCCGGCTGCTCCCGCCTCCCGCTCTCCGTTCCTCTCGCCTGCCGACGGCACCGAGGCTCCCCCGGAGCCGCCTCCCAGCCCGGCCCCCCCGCGATGCGCGGCGCTGCCGACGCCCCGATGTGCGGAGCCTGCAGGCTTCGCCCGCGGCCGAGCTCCGCTCGTCGTGCCCTCCCGCAGCCCCCGCTCGGACCTCGCCCAGCGCCCCGGGCACTCACCGGCTCCTCACAGGAGCTCTCCCCGGCCCTTCCCGGAGCCTCCGCGCCCGCCACTGAGAGCTTCCATGTGCCCAGCGGCCGCTCCTCTCTCCCGCTCCACTCCTGGTACGGCGCCCTCTGGAGTGCCCGCTCTAGTGGGAGCCTCGCGGGCAGCCGGGGCTGTCACTCAGCCCGCCGAGGCCCCCGGCGCGGGCACGGCGCTGCGGCTGCCGCCGGCTCGCTCCCCCTTTGTTCGGCGGCGGCGCTGACAGCTGCTGCCGGCGGCGCTCCGCGGGCCCGGGGGACCGCTCCGCCTCGGCGCCTCCCCACCCACCAGCCGCGCCTCCTGTTCCCGGCCCGCAGCCCCGGCTCACTCCCTCTTTCTCCGCCCGCGGTCAACAACCGGCGGTAGCAGCACAAGTTCAGGCCGCCGACCCGGAAACTCATCGGCAGCCGAGGCCCGCGGGGCTCCGACGGGAAGCGGATCCACCGCGCCGGGGGAGGGAGCGGGGCGGGGACGGGGCGGAGCAGGCCGGGACGCGGGGCCTGGGCGGCAGGCGCGGCGGGAGGATGCGGCGGGCAGGCGGCGGCAGGCGCCACCGAGGAAGGCAAGGCAGGCGGGGAGGGAGCGGGGCCAGGGCGACCTCCCTCACCCCGGCTCCGGGCGCGGTCCTGAGGGCGGGGGAGCCGCTCCCGCCCCGCGGGGATTCAGCGGGAGCACCCCTCGGCGATCGGTACCCGGCGGCTCCTGGGCGCGGCCGGGGAAGTTCGGGGCGTTACCCGGCCGGGCGGTGCGGGGCGGGAGGTGCTGGGGTGCGGGGCCGCCTGCCGCCCGTCGCTCTCCGGCCGTGCCGAGGCGAGGCAGCGATGCAGGGCTCCCGATGCCCCCGGCCTCCCGCCTCCCAGGCGGGGGTGGTGCGGCCGGGAGTCCCGGCAGGAGCCGCCCTCCGCCTCGTCCCGGCGTGTCCTGCGGGAGGCGGGAAGGCTTGGCGGCGCTGGGAGAAGCCTGGGCGAGGCGTGTGCCTTAGACCAGCAGCCTTTGGAATGGGGCCGCGTTGTTAGCACCTGGGTTTGGTCAGAATCAGTTCGTGGTGATATCTTCTGAAGCTGGTTGTGTTTATTGTCACATCCTTCAGCTTCACCCGCCTTCATTCTCACTTTTTGTTTTCTGGAGTTATTTTGCAAGTCTCAGCGCTGTCAGTTTCACAGATATGCTCGTTCTGCACTGTGCAGAGCAGTGGCAGGGGGAGTTCACCCGCTGCTTATTCACCTCGCCCAGCACCTGTCATCCAGGTGACCCGGCCGTACCAGTGCAGGCTCCCTCCACACAAGCCTACGACCCAAACCTTGTGTATCCAAGCACGTGTAAAACCCAAGGACTAGGTCTTTCCTAGCTGTGCATAAGGGATGGTTGTTTCTTTTTCCTTTTCAAATTCTTAATGCCCTTAAGTATGAGTTTTTGTGAGTCAACATGTTGCTTATTTAATGTTTTTAGATGTTACTGTAATGCAAATCATTAGCTGTTTCTCTTTGGATATTATACTGTTCACGCACCATCATTAAATCCTCTAACTAATGTATTTATCTTAACTGATGGTGAAAACATCCATGTTGTTATTTATGTTGAGATTTTTTTCAATATCTTTTCAGGTAGTCTTGCTCCCAGGAAACATACTGGACTAAGGCCATAGGAATCTGAAGACCTCTGTTTCTCCTAGAAGAGGTGGAGAAGCTAGAAACACTAACATTTAAAATATGTAGAGGAGTTAATCTGCAAAAAGCATGCGCGTACTGATGCTATGGAATGAAAGTGTGTTCATTTGCAGATGAAGAAAATGATCAGCTGGAAGGTGGAAATGGTCAGACATAACCTTCTTTCTGGAAGCTGATACGTGATTTAGCTTTAGGAGATTTTCCATATAACTTCCATACTATTTTGTGATTTTAGGAATTGTCACCTTGGTTTAACAGAAGGGTAAGCAAAGCTTTTTCTTAAATCTAAATGCTTCTATTCGCTTTTTTCAGAAACTAAAAATATATTCTTTTCAGAAGCTCTATTTGAATGAATTGTGCACCACTTTGCAGCTCCACTGAAATAAAACTAAGTAAATTAATCCATATTATAGTTTATTTTTATCAGCTTTGTTACTTGGCTGTAGGCAAAACTGTGTTCTACTTTGTGGGGGGGAGATGAAAACCAGGTATTTTCTTGAAATCCATGTGGAACTCAGAGAAGTGGAGTACTTGTTACACCACAATTTATAAATTACAGTGCTTGTCACTTAAAAATGGCTTTCTTCTTAAAATTCATATCTTTTCCAGAGCTCAAAATTTCTTTGGCCTTTTGTCTGGTTTGCAAAATGGGGAAGATAGTTACAAAGTGGGAAAAAGAAATACATTGCTTTTATTTTAAAGATAGTTTAGAGAACAAGCTTATTTGTATCAAATTTACATGACATTCTATTTTCCCCTTTCATGAAAAGGAAGCAGAATTCTATCAGCCATTGGCATTTCTCCAGCTAAAGAACAATAAATGAATAACGCAAAGCATCAGTGGATATGAGCACTGCATCCTGAAGTTTAGTGTGCTGTTGGATGTTTTTTTCAGCTGAACCTTTTCTTCCTGTTTATTCATTATTTCCAGTGATAAAGTAAGAAGGAGAGATGGGAAACCCAGAAAACATTGGAGATGCATATGTTGCTGTGATTCGTCCAAAAAATACTGCTAGCCTCAATTCTCGGGAGTATCGAGCTAAATCCTATGAAGTAAAATTATTTCTTTTCTTATGCATTAGTTGTTTGGCTTTTTAAATAGTATAGTAAATATGTAATAATAGAAGAGAATGTAGTCTTTTACTCAGTAGTCTGATGCAGAGGTCATTCTGACTTCACCATTCTGCTCCTCAACATTTTGTACTTCTTGAATTTTGTTGCTACTTCTACTGTGGCATAATAAATAATAATAATAATAGTAATAATATTTTTTAAAGTTCTGTGCTTCTTTCAGCTGTGCTTAAACTTCTTTGGTTTCATTATTGTTTGAAAGATTTTGCTACTTGAAGTTCCCATTGAAGGCCAAAAGAAAAAAAGAAAGAAAGTTTTGCTGGAAACTAAACTTCAAGGAAGCACTGAGATAACCCAGAGCATCTTGGATTATGTATTAGAAGCCACCAAACCAATTTCACCAGCCAATCAGGGTATTAAAGGTAAAGCCATTTTAATCTACTATACTGTTGATAACACCATAAAAATATTTTTTAAATTGTCATGGCAAGGTTGTACAAAAGCATGAAATTAGTATAAAGAAGGAAGATATGTTTTGAAGTTCATCAAAAAAAAACTAAGCCAACAGTACAGCTAAAACCTTTTGTTTAGCTTTGTTTCTCTTTACCTTCCCATTCTATAAAATGCTTACTAAAAGATAGTTAATAAATTAATCTTTCTCTATGTTGCTTCTTCACCTCAAGTTTAGATTTATAGCTAAACTTCCAATAAACCAGATCAAAGTGGCTTTTTTATCCATAACTTCAGCTAAAACTTTACTTGGACTAGGGAACTGATAGATTATAAAGTCAGTTGTTCAGAAGACAGTATCTATATGAAAATATTTCTAGCATAACTGTATCGCTCACAGATGGAATTTGATGAATACTTTTTTTTTCCCTTGTTACGTAGCTGACCTAGCAAAGAACCTCACACTTGTGCTGACAAATTTGTTTTTAACTGGCTTATTGCATTTCCAGGTTGGTATCAAGTATAATGACTAAAAGACTTCTGGTCTTTGCTGTGGACTTCATCTTTGTTGTTTACATGGTAAAAAGTTGCAGGTGGCAGTAACTGCAGCTAAGTGGATGTAACAGAGCTCGTTCTGCAGCAAACACAGAATAACAGAATTAATACACATAGAGGAATGTCCTCTAAAAGCAAAAACTCCATTCCTTGTCTAGTTTGGAGAGTTTTAATTTGACTCACTCAGATGGCCCAAGCATTAATTATGCCCAGCTTAGTTTGTACACTGCTAAAATATGCAGCTGAGGTTGGAAAAGTTGAAAAGGGCTACAGTCATATAATTTTTTCATGTTAATGGGTATATACATATTCATGTTCTTTAGTTTTTCATATGTATTTAGGTTTTCTTTGCTTTCTTTAGATTATAGCTCATAGTCTTAATTTTTTCTTCCTAGAAAGCAGGATGATTGAGTCTGGTAAGCTTTCAGATAGCCAACTCTAGATTTTTCTCTTTGTTTTGATGATTAATTGTTTTGTGTATTGTCTGTCTTCTGTTTTTAAATAATGTGCTAGGAAAGCGTGTGGTGTTAATGAAGAAGTTTCCTCTAGATGGAGAGAAGGCAGGCCAGGAGGCATCTCTCTACATTGTTCCAACTGTTGTGAAAGGTAACATTGAGCATGATTTGTGAAGCTGCACCTATTTTAGCAGAAATTCACTTGAGAGTTTATTTTTTGATATTATATACTTAAGTTGTATATAGCTATCTCATTGATATATGATTGTATGTATAATTATATATATAATATATGGCATATTTATATAATATATTTTAATATGATATATGGCTTTTTCTGTATTTAAACATTAAAAGTTGCAGGCAGGTGCAAAACTCCCTGAATGTTTTAAACTTTGAAGAAATTACTTAAAATCAAGGAAGAAACCTTTGGTTTAATGTATTGCCTTTGTTTTTGTAACAATTGTTACTGTTACAAAAAGTGCAGTATTTGTGCACTTGGTTATGTTTCAAAACACAGGCATTAACTTATGTAGAATTTGCTGAATGCAACTCTAAGACATCCTACTCAGTTCAGTGTCCTCTAGTCAGAGAAGAATGCTTAGTAAGTCTAAACAGTAAATAAATTCTATAGAAAGCCAAGTTAATTACTTGTCAGGAAAGTACTTTTAAAAACATTGAAGTAAAATATCTGTGTGCTTTTGGGCAAACTTCTTCATTTTTTCCATACTTATAAGACTTGATAAAACCTATCAAATAGGCACCATTATGGCGTTACCGGTACCAATACATACCTCTCCTAGTCCTGAGTCATCTTCCTTTTTTTTTAATCTGGTAACAGGATGCATTTAACATTTATTTCTCAAATGAACCTAATTACAGTGATGGAATAGTGACAGAATATCTAGGGGTTTTAAGGGTAAGCTGTTGGGTTCTGAATTGCTGTATAATAATTGCTATCAATTATTATTTGGAGAAAATGAAGTTCCTCTAGTCTAAAGTTAAGATATAGTCTTACTTAGGGATGTGTGACTACAAAAGATGCAGAAGGGAAAATAAGATTGTTTTCACTGATCAGAGTATGTTTCTTTTTTAGATAATACAAAATATACATACAGTCCTGGATGCCCTGTGTTCTACTGTTTACAAGACATCATGAGAGTCTGCAGCGAATCCAGCACACACTTTGCTACACTAACTGCAAAAATGTTAATTGCCTTGGATAAGTAAGAGACACAATCAGTAAAAATACATTAAAATGAAAAGTTTGATATTTTATATCAAAATATAAATATATATGAAAAAGATAATTTGTCAATGTAACACATAGTTTTTATAGCATATATAGGTTAAGAAGAAAATCATCATGGTATTTTCTTCATGTTTATCAGAAATGGAAACTTTGACAAGATATTTCTAAAAGTCTTTTTGCAAACTCAAAATGGTGTTTATCTCAATCAAGTAGCTTTTTGGAAGTTCATGCTCACAGTGAATGTTTTCTAAAATCATAATGTTTAATCTTCTGTAAATGCCATAATTGTCATATGAGTAAGAGCACTTGCCAGATTGTAGTAAAAATATCCTGTAATTGTATACCATTAAGATTTGCATTTAAATTAAATCTCCCTGTAGAAAGGGAGTGCATCTTCCCCAGACACACTAATTTATTTGCAGTAGGGAATTGACTTTCAGAAAGGTGTTTAGCTAGATTTGTACTAGTTTGAAATTTGAGTACATGAACAGGTTTGGGTTTTTTTGTTTGTTTGTTTGTTTTTTAATGTACCCTTAACCAAGAAATACCAGACACACTTGCATATGAACTTACTTGCAGTAGTAAAGTTAGCTAAAACCTCTGGCTAATGTAAAAAAATCATGCTACAGGCTATTGCCTAAAAGGTTCTGTGTAGGGTTTTTACAATTTACTAGTAGAGTTGTAGCATTTCCATGTATACCATCGTACCAGTTAAATTTATTTGCTGCTTGCTGAATGCCTTCAGGCTCTAAGTTCTGCTTAGAAGCCTCACAAGAAGCCTTGGAAATACAATAGAAAATAGTTTAAATTTTTTATTCTCTATATACATAACCTGAAACAATACTTCTCAAAGATTCAAACTGCCATAAGTAATTTATCTACCAAATATTTAGAAAAAATGTCTGAAAATACCTTAGAGGGTGTTTGTAGCACAATGACTACAATTTTAATGTTCTTTCTGCCAGGACCATGAGTAAGTGAAGGGAATGCTGCTTTTGCATGACATTATAGCTTGGATCTAGGACTTAAACATAGGCCTGAGCATATGCACTGAACTGCAGGTTACCTTCTGCCATCCTTACATATGATTCTGGGACAGACAAGATCCAAGTGGTCAGTCAGTGGATGTCCAAAGCATGTAGTTCTATTTCTTCTATATTTCCAGGCTCAATCACTAAACAGAATTTATTGTATTCCAGCAAGGCACATTTTTACCTCAAGTTTGTGAGAAAGTATGTGCAGAAGCCTAAATACAAACCTGGCTTTAGACCTTTAGTGCACTACTTAATATAACAATTTAACAATTTTAACAATTTAAGAGTTCTGTAAAAAGAAAATTTACTCGAGATGAATAACTTGTCCTGAGCCCTGTGTTATATTGCATATGTGGCAGGAAAAATGCAGCAGGTCTACAGTAGCACAGAATAAGAGAGCTCTAAAGGTCTTCAGTGCTGTCAGTAGGAGTGCACTCACAGCACAGCTTTAGAGAAAGGCAGGTGGTAGCCTGTGTGAAAGAGACTTAGCGATTTGGAAACCGACCCTTTTGGTTTATTGCCTTTTCCTGTCTTTTCATAATTTCCTGCTGTTTCTTCTTTCCCTAATTAAACACATGAGTTGAAAAGCTTAAGTCAGTACAGATATTGAAACTCACCCTTTAAAAAACTCCACAAAATTTGTTCAGAGCAGTAACGTTACTAAACTGAAAGTAAATGAAATGGTGAAATGTTGATGTGGTTAGTTTTGTAGTTCTAACCAGTGTTAGTGCATAATTTCCTTCTCTTTGAGAGTTTGCATCCCCACAAAATTGAGCAAATACAACCGTTTAACTGAGTGTAGTTAACAAATTTCACATTCAGGGAGTAATTTAGCCTTAGAAAATTGGCTGTGCACATTATAATTATTTTTTTTTAATTCAAATGTGTGATTATCATATATGCAGTCCTTAATCAAACAGAATAATGGACAGCATGACCAAAATTATCCTTTTCTACCTGAAAATTAATTACTTGCCCATTCTCTCCTGCAGGTGGTTGGATGAACGGCACACCCAGTCTCACTCCATCCCAGCTTTATTCCGACCATCTCCTCTTGAGAGAATTAAAACAAATGTAATAAACCCTGCCTATGCTATAGAACCTGGTCAAACAGAGAGCTCATTGCACATGGGTTATACTGCCCTGGAAATAAAGAGTAAAATGCTGGCATTGGAGAAAGCAGATATGTGTATCTATAATCCTTTGTTTGGATCTGACCTTCAGTATACCAATAGGGTAAGAACTATATTATCATTTTGTATTTGTGAAACATACATACGTTTTCATTTTAGAGTTCATTCATTTATTTGATATGAGTGTATGCTCACATCAGAGTTGTTTATTTAGCAGTAAGTGTGCACTAGTTTTTCAAATCCTTATATTTGATCATAATTCTCTTTCATTATAAAATGTTACTGTCATAATTTCATAACATAAATTCAAGAGAATACCTGACCGGAATGGGGGATTGTGTAGCCAAATCTCAGTAAGATTTTTTTTCAGTTGTGTTTAAATTATGTCTTCACAGGTTGACAAGGTGGTAATAAATCCATACTTCGGCCTTGGAGCCCCAGACTATTCAAAGATTCAGATTCCTAAAAGAGAAAAGTGGCAACGTAGCATGAGCAGTGTCACAGAGGACAAGTATTATGTTACATTTGTTTTTGATTAATGGATAATTTTGGTTTCTTTATTACAGTAGCACTTGATAGACTTAGAATGAGATTCCTGTTACTTTAAGTTCACTGTATAAATACATGTTTTAAATGAAATTCTATTTGAAATCTTTAAGTATTGAAACAACAGTTGAGGGATGAAGACAGGTGTTAATTATGAACTTTAGAGAAGCATTTCTTACTTTAAAAAATACAACTGTGGCTTGATTTCTGCATGACAAAAAACCTGTTTGCATGAATACTGGCACATTTTAGTTGCATGAACTTCTCTTTTATTCTTCAGGTGGATCTGTGGTTAGTGCTATGCTTGTGATTTTGAAAAAGTTGATGTTCTCAACAATTGTAGTATTTCTGAACTGTCTTCTTCCTGTTTCCCCTCTTAATTCATAGGGAACACCAGTGGGTAGATGATTTCCCTCTTCACCGCAGTGCTTGTGAAGGCGACTCTGATTTACTAAGCCACCTTCTGGATAAAAAGTTTTCTGTTAATCAGCTGGACAGTGACCACTGGGCACCAATCCATTATGCATGCTGGTGAGTCAAGGATAGTTTTACCATTCAAGTGCATTCTAGCTGTCATGATTCTTTAGCGCTATCATTTATGTAATTTATCAGCTTCCATATGAAGAAATAAAAAAAAACTCTAGACTTTTTATGCTTTGATTATAATATATGTTAGTGTTAACCTTCTGAAGAAAAACATTGCTTCAGGTTTTGAGATCATTTTCATTTGAATGATTTTTTGGGAGACCAGTTGTGGAGATCATGTCATCACTTACTTATTGCCTCTAGTGTCTCTCCTGACTATTCTAATTCCTGCTGGAGGCACTGGGTCTATTTTAGCATGGTAACTTTCAGAGTCTGTGTTGGCTTAAGCTTATGAGCAATTTTACAGCACAGCAGTAGCTGAGCTGAACATGTTTTGGTGCTGGTCATGCTTTGAGTGGGAAGCTGGACTAGGTGATTTACAGAGGTCAGCATGTCTGACTGTAACTCTGTGATTTAATCTGTAAGTGCTTGAAAGCTTTCCTCAGTCATAAAAATGTTTTTGTTTTGTCATTCGTGTATATAGTGGTCAGTATGTCTGATGATAGGAATAATGTGAAAATCAAACTTGGGTATAAAAAGCCCACAATTTTACTTGCTTTTTAGAGTTTGTCAGGAAGTTTGTAAATACTTTGTACATCAAGTACACATTAGAGTTACCAGTTATAAGCATGGGGGTTAAGAATCCTCGGGATCCATCTGCATGACAATCGGAAGCTGAACTCTTATTCTCACACTGATTATTTTTTTCCAGACAAAGCTGAACTCTGTTCTGCCATGACTGAATTGCTGCAACTACCCAAACGTAGCTGGCTTAAAGCAAGGTTCAGTTTGTCTGTAATGAATCCAATGGTTACTAGACCAGTGATTACCAAAGAAGTGTAGAACTGATATTAATTTCTACAAACTTAATTATGTTCCATTTTATCTGGTGTAATTTGAAAGCTAAAAACCCTTCAGTGTGGAAAAAAACACTTTTTCATCATTAGGACAATCTGAAAAAAATTATTATATGTTTGCTCTGTCTGTTCTGATTTAAACATGTCTACAGGTATGGAAAAGTTGAAGCCACTCGAATGCTGTTGGAGAAAGGGAAATGCAATCCAAATCTTTTGAATGGTCAACTTAGCTCTCCTCTTCATTTTGCTGCTGGAGGTGGGCATGCTGAAATAGTACAAATTCTGCTAAATCATCCAGAAATTGACAGAGTAAGTTCTGTTTGTGTATAGAAATAGCAGTTTTAGCAACAGTTTCTAGATTGTGTATGAGAAATATTTTAGTGTCCAGATTACACTGTATAAACACAATGATCTTGTTAAGTGATTACTAAAAAATGGTTAAATATTTTTCATTACCTCTACTTTTCTCATTATGTGTCAATAAAATGTTTGAACTCTGGTATCAAGGTTTTAATTATCTCAAAATGTGTAAATGTAGAAATCAATGTAGAATCTGTGTTTCTGTTTGTTTGTAGCACATTACTGATCAACAAGGAAGATCTCCGCTAAATGTCTGTGAAGAGAACAAACAAAATGAGTGGGAAGAAGCTGCAAAACTACTGAAGGAAGCCATAAATAAACCTGTATGAGTTTATTTCCTAAATAGCTTAAAGTTTATATTTAATTTACATTTCTAGAAGAGCTAGAATCACTTCTGGCTGTTACTGGAAATGTGCAGCACATTGAAATTGTTAGTGTAAATATTGGCAAACTGACATTCTGTCTCTTTAAATATTTCTGTTCTGTTTCATGGCTCAAGAAATACAGGTAAGACATGTAAATGTGATGCTCCAATTTATTTGTAGGAGCATCACATCAGCTACTGATTTTATGTCTATTTTTGATCATGCAACCATCAGCTTTCTTTATGCATTCTTATATGTTGATAAACAGGAGCATTCAGCTGGCTAAATGTAGGCTTCTATGAAATAGGCTTTTTGTCAGCCAGTTTAGGCTTCCTTGGCAGCCAGTGGGGATTTAGCCTTTAGGATGGGAAACAAAATTTACAATGCAATTCCTCTTATCCTGAAGTAGATTTAAAATTAGCCAAATTATATAAACCCACTTGTTTCTTTTCTTTGACTTGAGATGCAACCTATATCCCTGTAAGTAGGTGGTACTAAACCTGTCAGTTTTTCAAGATGTTTTAAATTATTTTCATTTCACTCTGCATGAGTGATCTTCCAAAACAGTTAAGGAAGGAACTGACCTTTATTTTACTTTGACCTTTATTATTAGGCAGTAGATCATGTGAATGTGTGTGTGTGTCTAATGACTCTAAAGGCTAATGGACACATTTTAAGTAGACTTCAGAGTATAATCCAAGATGTCACTTATTACTATTTAATTAATAGAATATATAAACTCCCCTTATAAACTACTACTGTAGGAATGACACTGACTACTGCAGCAAAAACAGACTGATGCTTTCCATTCCAACCTTGTTTTCAGTAAGTTGTCATTTTCCAAGCCATCCATCTTTTTTTCCAGAAGTTCTAAGGAACTCAGTTCTTGGTGACTTAGATTTGAGGAAGGGAAATAGCAAGTTCCTGAAAAGATTTTATTCAAGCAGCTGAAACATTTAACCTGTTACAGAAATGAAAACAAGACATTTAATTGATTTATGACTTTTGTATATTTGCTTTAAGCACCTGATTTATGTTTATGCATGTCTTTCACGAGACATGATATGGGCTCACATGAAATTCAGTGAAAACTATGGGAGTTCTGAAGGGGAAAATGATATCTTTCTTATTAGATTTATTTAGATTATATTATAGGAGCACTATAAAATTTACTGAGATTGTGTTCTTGTAGCAGGTTCTAAGTAAAGGGTGGTGCTTCCCTCTAAAAATGTCTTTATAGTGTAGGGGGGAAAAATTCATAACATGCCAATAGCAAAGTGAACGTTTTAGGATATGCATAGGCAGCTGAGCCTAGATTGCTCAGGGAGCTTTTAAATACCTACTTGCCTTTGAATTCAACAGAAGTCTTCAAAATACCAGCAAAACCTTTCTTGGAGTTACTGTTTTAAAAAGCACAGTATAAGAACTTGCCCAGGACATGAAACAAGCAATTTGGGTAAATAATAAATGTGTAGGAGTTGTGCAATGTTCTTTTTCCCAGCATTATAGATGTTGTTGATATATGGTAAAACTACTTTCCTCTCCAGAAACATCAACAGAAAGGATTTTAACAAATTGTCTGTTTAATGTGTTCCCATTTTTATGTAGTATGAAAAGGCTCGAATTTATCGTATGGATGGGTCATATCGCTCTGTCGAGCTGAAACATGGAAACAACACAACTGTCCAGCAAATAATGGAGGGCATGCGCCTGTCTCAAGAAACTCAGCAGTACTTCACTATCTGGATCTGTTCTGAGAACCTCAGTAAGTAAAAAAGGCAATGGTTATACTTGAGGATTTATCATTGTTTATTTCTGCTAGCCTTTAGGAAGAACTCATGCTGTCTTAGGAGAGTAGGAGACATGCTCTCTGACAGGCTTTACAGCCTGATGTCTCCAAACTGCTTTCACAGCTGTGGAGAGCTTCTCTGTGTTAGCTTTTACTTTGGGTCCCTCAATAGGTCTGACTGTATCACTCTGGCGCCTAGCATGTGTTTCATTCAGGAAGATGAGGCTGTTCCAGGGTGCATTTCTGTTACAGGGCACCTTGGCTGTCATAGGCCTTTTACTCGTAGCTTACTCTGTTTTTATCCATATTTTTCTTCCCAGAGTATCTGAATTTGAATGCACATAGTTGTTTTAGCCAATGTTTAGTCTTTTTAAAACCACTAGTTAAAGTAAGATGATTAATGTTTTTTCATTAGTTCCTTTAATCATCTGAATTTTCCTGTGTTTTGCACCAAAATAATTTTTGATAAACAAGCTTTCAAATATATTTGATGGGATAGAATTCTGATGTAAAATGCCATGTTTATAGCTGTGGTATTTCTTGGTATTTCTGATCTAAATAAAAAAGATATTATAGTTTTTGAGATATATAACAAAAGATAAACAGAAGCCCAAGAGAGTCAATGAGTGTGATTGGGTATTTTCAGATAATATGGTCAACAGTACTGCTGCAACATGATAGCTGTGGGACACCTTGTGGATTACAAAGCTCAGTTCAGGTCTGGTAGGATGCTGTGTTGACAGTGTCATTAACACAGAAGCCTTGCATTTAAAATTTTATTTACTGTTGCAAATTCTCCACTACAGTATTGTTACTTTTTTTTTTGTTTAAAGTAGTTCTCATTATTGCAGAAAATATTTTCTTTATTTTTCTTTAGTCTTTTTCTCCCAGTATCATTCCATTGGGCTTTTTAATTTGCTGTATGCCACATGACCACTGTAACCCTCAGCTAAACATAGATGTTAATGTGAAGAAAAGGAAGTGTTTGACAGTTGAAGTGTTGCTGCTTTTACCTTTTCTAAATATCTATGTAATGTTTTCATAGAATCATTGAGGTGTTACCCTTGCGCTGGGGTGGGGGAGCTTACTGATACATTGTGTAAAAGCAAGTAATTCTCTAGATATTTAGCCTAGATTTGAAAATGAGCTCCTGATTTATGGCTTTAAACAATTAATGGATAATCTCCATTACAAAGCATGTTACAGTTTGTGTACAATTGCAAAACACTGTAGGTTTCTTTCTTGTAGGACAGATGATGCTTTTCTGTGTTTGAATGTAAGATGGATAAATTAAATGAACAGACTGATCTCAGTGAAAGATGTTGTGCTTTAAGTTTTCTATATAATGTGAAATGCTACAATGTGAAAGCCAGAGCAGTGAGGATAAGGCAGATACAGCCTCCTAGAACCTCACTCCTAGAAAAAGCGAAGAGATATTCCAAGGACAGGCAGGGTGAGAAAACCAAAGGTACAGACTCTACTACATAGTAGGGCTGTAGTTGAAAGCTCTGTATTAATTTCTCAGCTTTCATATACACAGGAGAACATTAAACATTGATTGTCTTTAGCCTGTTAAGAATCAATACATCTTACAGATTAAAAAGAAGAATGTGTGTTCTGAAAAGTTTATGATTTTTATATGTATACAAAAAGGGCAAATACATTTATAAGATAAATTATATCTGTATTTTTCTGTCAGAAATAAGATTATTGGACTTTGTATTTCTGCCATAATAATAGAGACAACAGTCTCTCATGTTTTATTATTGTGTTTTTAAGGTCAGTCTTGGTACTCCATTAAATTTTTAAATAGCCCTTCACTGCTGAGAAACTGAAAATAATGAAGCTTCAACACCATTGCATTTAGCGAATTGATACCAAGCTTTTCATCAATAAATCCATATTTTCAAAACCTTTTCTATATAGCAGATTAGAAAACATAGGTAAAATGTTTGTTAATGTGTCGTCAATTTCAGATGCTCTGGGTTTGGTGCAGCATTTAATCATATGTGTGTATGTGCTGGGTTATTCTGTTTGTTTATTTACAAACAAAGCTGTTATTTTTCAGGTCTCCAGCTGAAGCCATATCACAAGCCTTTGCAACATATTCGAGACTGGCCTGAAATATTCACTGAACTGACAAACTTGGATCCTCAAAGGGAAACCTCACAGCTTTTCCTGAGAAGGGATGTGAGACTTCCACTGGAAATAGAAAAAAAGGTCAGCACTTGGAAGTGAATGAAGTTATGGTCAGACTCAGAACACTCTGACAGTCAACACTCAGTGTGTATAGTGACTAGTAATTACTTAAACCTGACATATCCTTTTCTGTAACGGTTTGAGTCTTCACATTCTTCCCTCCCTCTCTCTTGCCTTCCTGCCATCTCTTTGTTCTCTTACTTTTTCCCACCCTCTCACTTGAGTTAATCCAGTGTCTCCATGTGTCAGTCTCTGCCTGTCATACAGCTAAAAACAACCTGCCTAATTTTCTTCCTTGTGCTCTTGTTTTTCAGTTATTTAATTGGTCTATTTCAATGGGATTATTCAAGCATATTACCAAAAATAAATTAATGGGGGAAAAAAATCCACAGATACCAGTATTTCTGTGAATTTTTTGATTGGGCATGGTGTGCTAGTTGCCTTTATTGGTGTGTTAGATGAGTGAAGTGTTGAAGTAAGTCAATGAAAAGCAATGCTTCTATTACAAAGCAGCACTAAAATGTACACTTCAGTCAGGATCACACCTTTGTCTTCTGTCTCTGAGTCAGTGAGAAATGGTATTTATAGTTTCTAAGCTTATTTTCCTTTTAACAAAGAAATCATATTATTTAAATCTTTTTAACAGATTGAGGATCCATTGGCTATTCTTATACTTTTTGATGAGGCCAGATATAATTTACTCAAAGGTTTTTATACATCACCCGATGCAAAGCTGATTACACTGGCAAGTCTTCTTCTACAAATAGTCTATGGAAATTATGAGAGCAAGAAACATAAACAGGGCTTTCTAAAGTAAGTATGTGTTTAAAACTTAAAATTATGTGTTAGATTAAGTATTTTTAGATAGCATTTACTATGGAACCCTCAAACTTTAGGTATGATACATTTGTTTGTTTTCTTCATCACTGTGCTATAGTTCAGAGTAATCACGTAACCCTTGTAGCATTAATAGAAGTTGGACATTGTGTGTGAAAATGTATTAATCTTAATTATTGCAGTCCTAGACAGAGGGGTGGAGGTTCTATAATGTGTAAAATCTGTCCTGAGATACAGTAATATCAAAATAAACAACAATATTCATTTGAAGGGTTCTGACAGGACCGAGGTTTTGAGCAATGTTGAAGAAACATCTTACTATGGCAGTTAGACCAATATCTGGGATTGACTTTCCCTCTTTAGACAGACCATGCAGTGATATTGTTTCTCTTCCGTCATTTGTAGGAGAAATGCTGTACTAAATTCTTCAAACACATAGCACCAGTAGGGCTCAGCCAGATGGTATTTTTCTCTCCCCTTCCCTCTGCATGCCAGCACAACAGTAGCTGAGCTATTTTGGGATGGCTTGTTCTTCCCACATACATTTCTATAGCAGTATCTGAGTCCATGAAGATTCCAGTTCTCTACTGTGTGCATCTTTACCCCTGCCATCTCCACCTCACTTCATTCATGGAACAGCAGCTGAGCTGCTCTGGAATGCTGCTATGCTTATCTTCTCTTATTCACAGCATCAGCTGAGCTGCCTTGGCCTGGTGGGTTTTTGCATGTGTTGTTCTGCAGTTGCACAGCCGGTCAATGGAATGTAAGGAGAATGGTGTTTAAGTGGGACTGCCCTCCTGTATGAGTGTGCAGTTCGGTGCAGCTGAATTTTGTATGAAATTACTCCCTGCTGACTCCCAGCAGCTGCAGGGATATATATATATACTTCTCTTCACAGAAGTGTATCAGTATTGTGGTTCCAAGTTCATCCTGCCCAGTGGAAATGTTGGGCTCTACAGACAGAACTACCTGCAAAGATAGTTTGGGCTAGATGAAAAGCCATTTGGACATGCTTTCCATCCATATTCACCTAGCTCTTCTTCATATAGATGAGGAGTTTCATAATCTGTTTTTCTTTTTGTAATTGTCATAGATATTCATTAAAAGACATGGTAATTCCAAAAATATATCCAGGCTGTTGTTTGTATGACAGTATCCTTGACCTTAAAGATCTGGTTGCACTGTCCTGTGCAGGGTTTTTGCTTGGCAGATCATATATACTGCCAAATACAGTTTAAATAGGTTACATCTAAATAGATTACATCACTAGGTCTTGATACTGTCTTAATTGTACATAAAAGCAAACTAGTAAAGACTTACATTCTTTTACTGTTTTTTGTTTCCTGCATTTTGGGTTTTTAAAAAAGGTAGTTGATCCAAGTAGCTTCTCTTTCATGTCATGTAATATATAACTTTAATATGGAAATTAACTGGGCTGAGTTCTTGGTAGTCCTGACTACAGGAGTGGAAGGAAGAATATCTACAGTCTGTCATATTTTCTGAGTATGTGATATGCTGTTGTAAATGGCATTTTGTATATAATTTTGGCTTCCAACCTGGAATTCACCAAACAGCTCCCTAACCTAACCAAGTATGAGTCCTGTGTTCTGCTGGCATTTCCTCCCCATGCCACATCCATGATGTGTGACATAGAGTGTATATATATACACTCTATATAATGCTGGATCTTCATTAACTAAGAATTGCACTGTATCTTAGGAAACAATCCCATCTGATGAGACAAGATAGAGTAGGATCTGACTGTCTAGCTCAGTATGTGACTGGAAGGTACATTGTGGTAGGTGTTTTTTTTCTTGCTTTGTTTAGTGAAGAAAAACTTTGTTCCTCTTTGTTTCTCTCCTAGTGAAGAAAATCTTAAATCTATTGTACCAATAACTAAACTGAAAAGCAAAGCTCCTCATTGGACAAACAGGATACTTCATGAATACAAGGTAAAATAAATAAGCAGGTAGTAGAAAATCCTGTTCTTAAACATTTGTGACTGTTTGGTTGTCTATTAATGTCTATTAATGTCTATTAATGAAATACTCATATAAAAATAATAATATAATGAAATACTCGTATAAAAAGCTAAAAATGTTCTGAATTTTTGGGATGGGTTGTTGGAATATATTTCTTGTACAGTTACAGATCTCTTTGTTAGAAGTAAATATGTTTGTTATCTGTTCATTTTCCTTGTTCATACCCCATGTGTATTGGGCACACTTCCAATTTAGGCATAGGTGTGAAAAAATCTACTCTGAATTAAATTTCTATGTCTGCTTGTAGCAACAGATCCCCAAAGTCCTTTTTGTCAGTGTAGCTTGTATCTTAGGGATCTGGTAGTGCTGCTGACGTGCATGTGCACACACATAAACACCTTTGATTAGAGCATGTAATTGAGCAAATGCATCTAACTGAGGACTGTGGGTCCCAAATGAGGTCAGATTAAATTTTTGGTCTTCACAAGTAATTCTGGATAAAGTGAGGTGTGTCAGAAAAAGAACTGTACCACCTGATGCACATCACTAAAGGTAGCTGCCAGGAAATGCTGCAGAGGCACTTAGGGAATGTTTTCAAACCTTGCCCCACTTTCTGAATGAGATTACTTAGTCATAAACTTTCTTTTGGTGCCCACACCTTTTTTGTCAGAAATTAGCAGATCATTCCTATTCTTTCTAATAGAGATGAAGGAGGGAGTGATGATGGTCTGAGACTATAGTGTAGCAAAGTTGTCTCTGCTCTGTCATCAAATTATATGTAAGAACGAGCACAGCTTTCTTGACTTCTGCTTTTGGGACATTATTTTGGGGTGTGGGGCATGGAGGGAAATGGAAAGCAGTTGTAATCTTCTGTTCTGAAGATTTTACATTTTAGAAATAGCTGTGTAGAATTCCGGTAAGCTGTAAGGATCTGTGGATCCAGAGAGACTGATCCTGTCTACCACACCCATGGTCAAGGCCCCCTAACTGTTGAAGATTTGTGTTCTCCCTTATGTCTGTGCCTTCTGATCTTGTCCACGGCCCAACCAATTTTTTATTTGTTAGAGTGGTTGTTATCATTCTGGTTTGAGGAGCACTCCAGCGATAGTTTGTTCTGACTGCTGAACTCTACTGAAGAGGAAGGAACAGAAGCCTGTCTCATTCTGAATGAAGGCTCCACTAAAGAAAAGAGATCTGCACCTCTCTTTTGCTTAGAAAAGAAAAAACAATCCATGTTTTTGGAAGGAGGTACTTGCTCATCTTGATTGGACCCCTTAAAGGAGGAAGAATACTTAGTTTAAGGATTGTGATGCATTTCGTATCAGATGGGTGCATAGCTGCTGATCCCAAGTTCCAGTTACTGCTGAGAGAGGCAAAGCTATGGGGCCCTTCAGAGGCTGCGTCTGTGTTCAGATTTCCAAGGCTCATATCGATACTGGGTTTTTGCCTCAGTCTCTTCCAGCACTTGAGCTTTTCCATGGCTCTAAGGTTTAATTCAGCTTAGATTTAGGAAGATGGTTGATGGGAAGGCACTTTGGAAATACGCATTTAGTAGGGATTGCACTGAACAGCGGATTTTCTTCAGACAATCACAACTGTTTGGAAGGACTTGCTGATTGCTCTTGTTTCTTTATTTTTAGAATCTCAGCACCAGTGAAGGTGTCAGTAAGGAGATGCATCACCTTCAGCGCATGTTCTTGCAGAATTGCTGGGAAATCCCTACTTATGGAGCAGCTTTTTTCACAGGACAGATATTCACCAAAGCAAGTTCAAGTAGCCATAAAGTCATCAAAGTGTATGTAGGAGTAAATGTAAAAGGGCTGCACCTCCTCAACATGGAAACAAAGGTCAGCTTAAGTGAACTGCCAGTGATAACTATAAAACTTAATTATCTTCTCTTAAAATCTTTGTACTGGAAATAATTTTACATCCAACTGTTTAGTTAAACTTGACTGAAAATTTCCAAGATTTTAAGGTCTTTATAAGTCACTTACAAAGCCTTGTATTTTTTCACTATACTACTTTATGAACTACAACTGCATTGTGGAATGTAGTGGTTTAAGTCTGAATCCTGTCTTTGTGAATGAAAGGAAGTTCAGTTTGCAAGTATGGAGGATGTTTTCTGAGTGACAGTTTCCTACATTTGATCATAGGCTTTACTCCTGAGCCTAAAGTACGGTTGCTTTATGTGGCAGTTGGGAGATGGAGATACGTGTTTTCAAATCCACAGTCTGGAAAACAAAATGAGCTTTATTGTGCATACCAAACAGGTAAGCACTATCATTTTGCATCCTTTATGTTCTTTTTCCTAAATTAGATATACAAGCCTCTTATCTCTTGAGACTGACCACACTTGCACAGTATAAAAGAAGCCTAAGCCATACCCCCACAAAAGTTATTTTAAAAGTTTATTATTAATATTTCAGAATATTTCCTTGTTTTCTTAGCATGTGAAGCCTTCAGAATTCAAAATACATAAAATGCATCTACAATCATTAGGATAAACCTTTTGTTTAATTCTGTTAAAGTAAGTTCTGAAACTGTTTCTTGCATATGCCCAATCCCTCATTCTCTTAGATTAATTCCAAATATAATGAGATTCAGAGAGCTGAAGCCAGTAACTTTGTGACTGAAAGTAATGGAGTTTGAGATTGGATAAAGCTGAGAATTGCTTTTGTTATGTACTTGATTGTCATAGTTCTGAAATGCTGATAGAATTTAATTGCATCCCTTTACATAGGCAGGACTCGTTGTAAAACTCCTGATGAAATTAAATGGCCAGCTAATGCCAACTGAAAGAAACGAGTGATGGAAATGAACAGTAGTTACAAGATGGCATCTGATGGCTGAGCAAAAAACAACTTTTTCCTCCTCGTAACAGGACTTCCATGTACATTAATTTTACACAATAGAAAAGTCAATTTGTACAGTTTTTTAACTTTGTACAGAAGCTGCATGGTTTATTTTTTTAAAAAAACTATACAACATATCTATTATTTTTATAAATATTTTTGTGTTTCATATATTAACTATTGTAGGGCTGAGCTTAACCAATAAAGCTGATGAAATCTGAATGGTTTACCTAGTTCGATAAGCATGAATCCAGTAAAGCTGTTGTTCCCAGAGAAATATGGGACTACCAGTGCCATTAAGGAAGTCTCAGTTAACCGATTTACCCTTCATGTCATTGTGTGGAACACCAAGGAGGTGGTATATGTTGCAGTATTTTGTAGACACCCTGTATTTTTAAGATACTATTGATAAATATGCCTAAAGGACCAGTTAGACCAGTTAGACCTTTGAGCAACTACTTTTGATAAACTCTTGTTGTCTATTTGGGTCAAATGGGCAGACATTTTAGCTTGCTTTATTTTCACTCTTAACTTTCTCATACTTTGTATTCATATTTATTCTAAAATACTGCATGAGGATGCCAAAAGGGAAATACTTTAAATCATTCAGAAGCCATATTGAATGTTTTGCATGCTTGTTTTGTAAAATGGATTTTTACTTTTGCTGTGCAATATATGTATGGAGGAGAGGGAGACAGGGATTTACAGATGAACCTTACTCAGAGGACTTTAGAAAGTTTTATAAATCCTACCCTGGATTGCAACACATATGCAGTAACAAAAGCTCATACGGGAGGTACTAAGTTATTTCTCTTAAATTAATTTTCCTACTGATTAATTCAGTTTCTTCAGGCTAAAAGCAGTGCAGGATGCAAGAATGAAGATAACAAGGAAGTCAGAGATTGTAAGCATTCTGCCTGCTCTTTGTAGAGTCAGGGTTGGGGCTCAACAAGTTGGGTCCCAAGTGTAGGGTGGGATCCTATGCAGTCTGAAACATATTCTTGTACATTAAAATAGTATCTGTAACGCAAATCTTTGAAGTTTCTGGTTGTATTTCAGGGTTTTAAGTGCACTTGACTATTTCTTCCGTGTAAACTGCATGCTAAAACAGTGTGCAATATTTTGTAAAAAAAAAGCTTTTATAAAAAAATAAAAATTAGCACTTGCCTCTAAGTTTTCAAATAAAAGCTAAAATGAATGTGAAGCACTGTGCTATTGTATAGTAACTTTACTCATACCTTACTGGTAACTGCAGTTTAAGAAATTAAAGTAGTAAGCCGTTAAAAACGTGAACGGGAGACTTGTATTTTGTATTCTTCTTAGCAAGCTGTACTTTTCTACTTAAACTTTACAGGCCTAAATAAAAGTAAATTTTCATGAATTGTTACGCTTTATTTAAGGTAAATAATGCAAGTCAGGTCCTTCATCATGCATCCCTGCTATCACTTGGCACTGGTATCAGAAATACATTTCTTTATATAGCACTTTCTTAGAAAACTAGAGGAAAATGTTAGGAAGGTTTGTCAGTTGCCTATATAACTATACTATCAATATGCCTTACTGCTGTATAGTCCTTTCTGCTAAATTCTTATTTATTACTACCTAATAAATTGTTTGCAACAAGTCATATTTGGTGTTTCTATTTTTTTAGCCAGCATGAAGGTGCCATCAAATGTTACACCAAGCAGGTGTTATTACCAAAGAGCAGTAGTTTGTAACAGGCTCGTCTTTGTAAGGTATGTAAGAAGAGGATCAGAGGGGACCAGAGGGAGAGTCCTATGTACTCTAAATTAAGGCAGTGCTCCTAGGATACTGCTCAGGAATTTACCAGGTAAACAGGAAGCTGTTCCTCGTGGCAAGCCAGAAGTTTGCAGGTGTTGCACATCAGTGCAGCCACAGAGCAGCGAGAGCCCAGCTCTACAGTCCCAGAGGTTTCTGGCACCTGGGTATGTAGGAGCTCATGCTGTCCTGCTGGGGCAAGGCAAAGCACGGAAATGAAAAATGGAACAGAGAGAAATCCAACACAGCTGAGACAGACTACTAGTAGCAACCCTCATATCAGTACCAAACAAAAAAACATTGAAAATGAGCTGCAAGATGGGAAAAGCTGACACTTGTGCCTTTGTAAACATGAGATGCCCAGCTTATCACCTATAGTCCATCTAACTAGCACTTTCTTAAAAAGCATGAACCTGTACAGCTGCAAAAGCAAAGATTTGAGTAGAACACTCAACCAGGCCCTGTAAGGCAAAAGAGTAACTGAGAACTTTAAACTGAAAAACAGGCGTGATTTTACCAAGTGGAATAACTGACCCCAGTGAGCAGCTTGTTCAAGAGCGAAGCCTCGGTCCTGGCACAATGTCCTGCTGCTGCTGCTTGGTGCAGGGAACAACTGATCCAGGGAGGTGGGGGCTTCCCAACCATTGTCAGCTTACAGCTGGATGCAGTTTAAAGCTGGGCTGTTGACTGGAAAAAGAAATATAGGTCCAACAGAAACAACATACATGGTTTGCAAAAGCTCTTCTTAATTGTTATTACTATAGGGTAAAGATATAAAAATAATGTACTAAATTACTATTCTATATAAATTTAAATATAATTAGTAATTACATAAAAATGAAATAAAACCATTCATGTATAGGTAATTAATCTGGAAATCCTCTCCCTTGGAAGAAATAGACTGATGCTATTCTTCCAAAAGTGTCCTTACTTCATAAACTGGCAGAGCAGAACGTCAGTAACATCCAGTGATAGTTTTCATGTCTCCCAGCAGATTGTCAAGGCTTGTACGAAGGAACCCTTTCTCAATCACTATATATATAAAAACCACTTATTTATCACTGATAAATTTCCTTTGGCACTGGAAAGTGTTGAAACTTCAGAGCTTGCAGGCAACAAATTGAAAACTTTACTAGATCCCATTGCTGACACAAAGAGTTTGAAGGTATTCAACATTGATTCCTTGCACCTTTCAGCATTCACAAGCATTCTCTACTACTATCTCATCCACTTATCTAGTAATCTAGCACATGTGAGACCTTGATACAGGGGTAACCAGAGGATATTACACCTTTTTAAAAAATACAAGAATATTCATTCACTAACAAGCTTTTTCTTTTGCCTGTGCACCTTCTCCAGTTGACAAAACTGAAAGTACTCAGAACTGATGAGAACAAATAGTTTATTTTGGATGAAGTAGGGAATTTATGAGAATTTAGGTTGCTGAACTTTGCAAAAATTTATTAAAAGGCGTTACAAATAATCTTTGCAACTGTACCCTGTTGAAATGTCTCACTGTATGTAATGATCAACCTGGCTTCCTCCTTGTATTCCCAGATTTACACATTTAAACTTTAGAAACTGACTGGACTCACTGGATGAACAAATACTGCTTTTAAAAGGTCTACCCAAACCAGAATTTTCCGGAGATCCATTAAGATGCATTCCTGTTGAATTAAAAAATTGTATGTGGACAACAAGCTGACCTCGGCTGTGACGAGCTTTCTGTTTCCAAATTCAGTTTTGTGCATTATTTGACCTTAAACCTTTAGGTATTAGTGGAAACTCATTTCAAAAAAACAGTACCCTGATTTTCTGACATTAAATATTTAGAACACCTGGAATTAAACACAAATAAGCTGTCCTCGCTCTCCGCGTGTTGTGCAGCCTTACAAACCAGCGCCCCGGGCTGTCAGCGGGTGCGCCGGCAGCGATGCGGCTCTCGGTCATAAGCCTCATTTCCCGGCGAATCGCGTTGTCCGGCTGCTCGAGCACACCCAGCCTTTCAAACAGGCAGGGGCCGAGCGCCGCGGGGCCGCGGCCGAGGCCGAGCCCTGAGGCGGCCGGGCCCGGCCCCCGCGCGGCGCGGGCCAATGGCGCGGGCCGCAGCCCGGCCGATGCCGTCACCCCGCGCGGCGCGGCCGCGGGTTGGCTCCGGCGCCGGCAATCGTCACATGGGCAGAGATCAGCCCAGCGCCGGGACCCGTCCCACGGGCTCGGATCAGCCCGCTCCAGCCGCTCCGCCCCGCCCCGCCCTGCCCCGCGGAGCCACGGCGGATGGCGGCGGGCGCCGAGAAGATGCTGAATCTCATGGAGGTCGGCGGGTCCCTGCTGGAGCGGGTGGCCGTCGGCAACCCCCTCTCCCTGGTGCTGGCCGCCTCCGCCTTCGCGCTCAGCCTCGGCTACCTGTTCCAGCTGGGGTACCGGCGACACCTCGGCTCCGACCAGAAGGTGAGCGCTGCGGACGGGCAGGGGCCCGGGGGGCACCGCCGCTGTGCCGTGTGGGGACGGTGCCCACGGGCGGGGAGTCGGGCGGGCCGGCGGCGGGGCGCGGGCCCGGAGAGCGGCTCGGACAGCCCTCGGGGGAGCCGCGCTGGAACCCGGCCGTGGGGAGCGGGCTCCGGCGGGCGAGCGGCGTTTCCAGCAGCCTCCGTGGGCAGCTTCTGGGGCAGGTGGCCGGCTTCGCCCTTAGCCGGCTGGTTGGTACCGCGGGAGACAGAGGCGCTCGGGGCTTGCGGAGCCCAAGGGCGTTCCCGGTGCTGTTTCGTCGATGGAGCTTGAGAGAAGGTGCCCGCTAATGTGAAGCACAGTGCTAACCTGAAGTTGCTTTTGAGGGGCTGTTTAACAAATCCTCCAGCACTGTTTCTGACTGCCGTCTTTTCAGTTGCAGTATCTTTGTGCTTCACATTCAGAGGCAGCGTAGGAAGACTCTTAATCGTATTCACTTTATTTTAACCTTTGCTGCTTTTAAATGTAGTTCTCCCTGAGCAACTGAATATGTTTTTCAAGTTGACCTTTCCACAAAAGAGTTAAAACATATTTAAAACTTCCACTGTGGTTAGTTTTTACGTAAATGGACATGATTTTATTACTTTTGGGCACTGGTGAATGCCAGGAAAGTGGTCAGAGCACCAAGCCTGGCAGAGTTCAAGAAGCATGTGGACAACTCAGTCAGGCACATGGTGTCACCCTTGGGGATGGGCCTGTGCTGGGCCCGGAGTTGGACTTCGATCCTTGTGGGTCCCGTCCAGCTCAGGGTATTCTGTTAGTTCACGATTCTGTGATAATCTCTGAAGAAAATTCAGTAATTATCTTTCTCTTTCTTCTGCAGAACTACCCACCTTTTATTTCATCAGGCATCCCTTTTCTTGGTCATGCAATTGCATTTGGAAAAAGTCCCATTGAATTTTTGGAAAATGCTTATGACAAGGTATGTTTTCCCACGTGACTGGCTGAGCTTATAAAAAATATTTTTGTCCATTTATTAAGCTCTCTGTCTGGGACCTGTTTAAAATCAGTTCATTCTCACCACCTTGAATATGGACTGGAGGTGTATGCAGTAGGCTCTGTGATCTTCAGATCTCTTCATCTAGCAGTAGTGTTTTCTGAGCTCTCGTGATTCATGTCACCAAATATGCTTGTACATTTGGGTAATAGTCATAGCTGAATCACAAGTTAATTAAAAAGCCATTTTCATGATTTTTTTCTTTCTGTAATTGGTAACTTTTAATCACATTCTTCACCAACCTGTGACCAGGTTGGAATGTAGCTGATCACCTCTGTGGGCAATTTGATGAATTTTAAGGCTTCTCTGATGTTAAGAGAGCTGGTGTATAAAAAACTCAGTAGTTTTTATACAGTAACAGCCTAGAAGAAATTGACTAAATCACTAGAGCCTTAATTCAAATTAAACTAGATTTATCAAGCTGTTTCACATTGTCTAAAACTAGATTTACAAGCTTAAATCCTAGCATGGTTAGCTTAGAGAAAGCTAAATCTGGTGCATGAAGGTCTGCTGGAGATGACTTTTAAACTTTAAAATCTTATTTGCTTCTAATTAGCTATGCATAACTCCAAATCCAGAATTTTTCAAGACAGTATTTGTAGATTACTGGGGTCAATATGTGCTGCAATCTCTCTGCTAGTTTTTTAGTGTAACTGATCTTTTATTTATGTTATCTAAAATAAATGGTTTTAAAATGTTCACATGTGTTCGTTATAACATTAGATAACACTAGTATGTACATTGAGAACAAATTTAAATGTGATTTAAAGTATATTTGTCTTTATTAAATGTCTGGATACTTCGTAGGAGAAAAAGTAATTTATGAAAGACTGTACAGAGAGATAGGGATGTAATGATTTTTGTTCTTCTTTCAAACAAATTTGTTTACTGTTTATTCTTTCTCTTAGTATGGACCTGTGTTCAGTTTCACTATGGTTGGCAAGACATTCACATACTTACTGGGTAGTGATGCTGCTGCTCTACTCTTCAATAGTAAAAACGAAGATTTGAATGCAGAGGATGTGTACTCTCGGTTAACTACGCCGGTCTTTGGCAGGGGAGTTGCCTATGACGTCCCCAATGCGGTTTGTATTTTAAATATCAGATGAGTAGAAAAGCAGTGCAGTTTGAATGCTGAGTAGGCAGCCCTGAGCTCTCTGCTCTGTGTGATGGGGTTGTGTTCAAAGGAACAGTGGCATACTGCAGTAGGTAAATAGTCTCACTGGATAATCAAGACTGAGCATGTTCAGGTTGCTTTCTTTACCACCTGGCTATTTGTCACTCTGGATGTTATCTTTTGTTCTTGAAACCATCTAATCTCACCATAGAGGAAAAACTAGTGT